ATTTATAAAGCATAAAAGTATAAGATTTTAAAATTTATATAGAAAAGTAGAAATATTTGTTTCTTTTTTCTTTTATCGTAGATACGCATTTCCCTGCAAGAATGTGTTAAGAGTGATTTCAGAATGGAATTTGGAAATACAACTCGTTTTATGTAATATCTGCAGCATTTGTAATTTTATATTGTATTTTCGTCTGAATAATTTAATTATTAATTGTAAGAAGTGACATAGTTTAGTAGTAGTTCAGATAGATTTATTAATAAAATGTATATAACAAAATACAACATCTAAACAGCCACCTCGAATATCGAAAACGACGGAAGAAATCAAATTTTCTCCGACGGTAACCTATTCTTTCATGGAGACCGCGACCTAGAGCGCCGCACTTCCAAGATCAACGAGGACTCAGAAATGCCAACTACCCAACGACGTTCACATAGTATAATACAAGGCTTCTATAGTAGATATAGATAAGGAATTTTCATACACGTACTTTTGTTAAGAATAACCCCGTCGGCTTGGTAAAACTGACCCAAATGTCAATATACATAGAATGTTTTTCCGCGGACTTGAGGGTCATTTATATCTCTTATAAATGTAAGATCATTATACAGTATTATAAAGAGTATTACAGACATTAAAACTAGGTTAATAGAATATTCACAACCAATTTTACTCTTATCATAATGTGTACACTAAAGAACTAAATAAATTGAACTAATACAATGAAATAATTCTTTTTCTTACCAATCATTTTATATTCACACCTTACATTTTTCCAATTTTTTATACATAATATTTTAAACTTTTAATTACATTATGTAATATCATCGAATATTTTCGTATAAAAATTCCAAACTTTTAGCTCCAGTGAAGATAATTTCCATTAAATTTCTCATAAGCCATATGACATAAAAGAAATCAAATTTCTCAACTTTCTAACAATTCCTACCCCAAACAGAATTCTCTGAATACAATAAATTCTCTACAAGAGTCAATAAGTTTGGACTCTACAAATGACAGTATAGATGGTCCTACGCCTAGGTCTGCGTCATTGCTGCGCCCATATTATCTCGCTCTCAGTCAGTCAAGCGTGTAGCGCAACACCAGTCGGTTCTTTAATGAGATTTCACGGCTCGACAAATCATTATAGAAAAATATAATTTCTTTAATTTTAGTTTTTTTCATCTGCAATTTTTTTTAATA